TTCTGCTGTCCAATTTGGGAGGAGTATGGGGATGGAGAATAGCATGTTATTGTCATAATTTTAACTTTAATCATTATTAAAATATTAAATATACTATTGATAACTTAAATAACAATTTAAATAACTTAATAATTATGTTTTTTTTTTTTGTTGAAAGTAAAAGATGCTGTGTTTGAGCTACGTGACATACAAGTAAAATATGATAAAAGATGAAAAATAATTACATTTTATTGTGTAATCAAAATCAAAAAAATAAATATTAAATATACTTAACAATTGATTCATGAAACTTAATGCCTTAACATGCAATCATTGATTTTAATCCAACCACAGGTTGGAATTTTTGTTAAAGGAGGTTAAATAAAATAATATTAATAGAAATTTTAAAAAATTTTATAAAAAAATACATATCAATTTTGGTATTTAAAAATAATTAAAGTTTTAATTTAAATTATATTATTTTATTAAATTAAAATTTAATCTAAAATTTAAAAAATTATCTTATTAAACATTAATATATTAAAATATATAATAGATTTTTAAATTTAAATATTAACATTTAATAAGATAAAATTTTAATTTTTAAATATAAATTAAAACTTTAATTTTTTTTTAAATTGATATGTACTAATCTCAAATTTTATTTACGTTTTATGTTTTATATATTGGTGAGTGAGTATATTTTTTTTTAAAAAATAAATAAAAATATGAATGTATATAAATATGAATTTATATGAATAATATATAATTTTTGTTTTCGGATAATGAGTTATATATTAGAATAACTTTAAAAAAAATTTATTTTTTGTTAAATTGAAATTTTAGATTTAAAATTTTTAATATAAAGATTTTAGTCTATAATTATTAAGTCATCCATAAAGACATATAAATAATATTAAGAAAAAGTACATATATAATTAGAATTTTCGTCTTAAATTATATCATTTTATTTAATATAAATTTAATTTGAAATTTATAAATTTATTTTATTAGATATTGATATAAATTTAAAAATTTTAAATTTTAATTCTAATTTTTAAATAAATTAAAATTTTAATTCTTTTTAAAAATCAAAATTTCATACACACTAATTTCTCCTAATTTAAACCAAAACCTTTTTTTTTTTTTTCATTCCAAATCCCTCATGACTGATTCAGCTTGAGACAAAGGAAAACAAGAGCAATTGCGAGAGGGGGGTTTAGCCACCCTTCAACCCTTAAAAAAGGGAAAAGCTACCGCCTTCAATCGAGAACGGGGGGATTTGGATTCTGTTTGCCGCCGAACTGATGCTTTTTCTCTTCACCTGCTTCACCGCCGGACAACCCACCGAAGAAGACTAGAGCATGAACAGAACGACCAAAGAGAGAACTCGAGGAGCAGCGTCTCTGTGAGCGATTGGCCACCGATTTAGAAGGAAGGCAAAAAGGAAATTTCGGCTCAATTCAGGTATTGCGATTATTTGTAGTTGTGCGCTGCATTTGTTTTCATGATCTCCTGTATTTATTGTTGGTAGATTTTAGATTGTGTGCAATGGGGATGATTTCAATTAGCCTCTTCTTCTTTATTTTTCTTTTTCTTTTTCTTTTTTTGCTGTTTCTCTTTTGTTCATGGCTTGTTGTGAAGTTTAAGCCTGCCTTTGATGAATTATTACCATATGACAATTATAAAGTGCAACTTATTTCTTTATTGACACTGTTTGAGCTACGATTTTGGGTATACATTCTTGTTAGGAAAAGCTTGGATCTTGAATTTGAAATTTTGTATGCATTTTAAGAAGTTATTTCAGTAAAGTTGCCTTGGGAACAAGGGAATGGTATAGGATTACTTTACAAATCTGTTAGGCTTTAATTGAGTTGAGTACATATGAAGTTAGATCCTAAATCCTTGTACCTAAAAATCTCTTTGTTGGTTTGTACAGGAAGGGTTCTAGCTTCCTGCAATCCTAATCAACCATGAGTGGCAGTGGTGTAAGAGGCAGGAACTTCCGCCGCCGGCCGGATGAAACTGATGATGACAACGATGATAACAATGCAAACACTAGCAGTAATGGATATAACACCTCAACTGCCAAAAAATCTCCATCTTCCAAACCCAAAAGCAAGCCCACTACTCGCCTTAGTTTTGTCGATGACCAAGAAGACGAAGAAGAAACAACCAAACCTTCCTTAAACAGGAGCAAAGATAATAGAGACAGACAGAGTGCAGCCCGTCTTAGCAAACCCTCATCCTCACACAAGATCACCTCTGCCAAAGATCGCCGTAATCTTGCTCCTCTTCCCTCCAATGTGCAGCCTCAAGCTGGTACCTATACAAAAGAAGCTCTCCTTGAGCTCCAGAAAAACACCCGAATCCTTGCTGCCTCTTCTTCTCGCTCGCAGGTTTCCTCTGAACCCAAGATTGTCCTCAAGGGCCTCCTCAAACCCCAGTCTCAAGATATAGATGTCGGAGAAGATGCTGAGAAGGACAAAGTTGATGATAAAGATGACACAGAATCTCGGTTGGCTTCCATGGAAATTGATAAGGAGAGAGATTCTTTTTTGTTTATGGATAAAGCAACAATTGATAAGATCAAGGCAAAGAGGGAGCGCCTGCGGCAGTCCCGGGCTGGGTCTCTGCCTGATTACATATCCTTGGACGAGGGGAGTTATAACCGCAGTGCACTAGAGGAGCTGAGTGATGAAGAGCCTGAGTTTCGAGGGCGGTTGTTTGGTGAGAGTGGGAGAAGGGGTGTGTTTGAGGTTGTTGAAGAGAGGCCAATAAGTGCAGTTTCAAAGAGGGATACTGTTGAGGTTGCTGGTGATGAGGAGGATGAGGAGGAGAAGATGTGGGAGGAGGAGCAGTTTAAGAAGGGATTAGGGAAGAGAGTGGATGATGGGAGTGTTACCACTGGAACTGGTGTTTCTACTATTCAAAATATACAGCAACAGCAACAGCAACAGCAGCATAGGTCAGGATATATGTACCCAAGAACATCTGTGTATGGTCCAGTCCCTAGTCTCCAATCAGTTCCTCCCACTACTATTGGAGGAGCAGTTGGGGATGTCAAGTCAATATCAGACCAAGCAGAGATTGCTAAAAGGGCTATCCATGACAACCTTAGGAGGATTAAGGTATGATTATTTTCATCTTTTACTACTACTACTACTACTACTACTACTACTACTATTATTATTATTACTTGGACATGCTCAAATTGAACTTGAATCTTCTACTTTGCACTTAGTATGTATTTTCCAAGGATATTTGGTAGAGTTTCAGATGCTTGAATTTTTGGGGCATTATCTGGTGATGTCTTAACTCTTTAAGTATCAAGGGGTAGGATTTGTATTGATTTTATTTTGCTTTGTTCTTGGTACTAATTTCTTTGAGAAGTTAAATCTAAAGGGTAATATCATTACAAAGTACTTGAACCCAGATCACCCTTGTAATCAGCCAGTTGCGCTAAAGTTTAACAAGTTTAAGGAAAGACATTAAAGATTTTATTTCCTCCTGCATTCTTTTGTTGTGTAACCTCAGAAGTTTTGAGTTTACTTTGTGAATACTCTTTTAATAAAAATATCTTAGCCTTTTTGTATCCTTACTGCATTTTTCCTTTCTTTTCCTTTCTTTTTTTTTTTCCTTTTTTTTTTTTTTTTGGTATTGGGTGGATACTGTAAATTAAAGTACATTGTTGAAGTGAGATACAAGAGTTTGACCAACCTCCATTGAATCATAACTGCCTAAGATTAGAGATTCTCTAAGTAAATTGTGGATTAGACTATCACAGAAAAAAAAAAAAAAATCAGATCCCTTGAGAAAACCAATAGTGCTACATATTAAAACTTGTAAACCATGCCATTTCTCATACTGTACTGCTGTTATTTGGGCAGTAGTTTTGCTTTTATTGGGGAAGTAAGGTTGTTCCTTTGCAGCATATAAAGTGCTTGCAAAATGGTCTGTTGTTAAATGTTGAAATATGTATTTCCATAAATGTTTGATTATATGTGTAATGTATGAGTGTTAATTGTCTTTGAATTTTTTGCTAAGTTGGAAGCCCTATTTTGGCAATATGCTAACTTGATCCTTGCTTTTGATTGGACATGTGTACTTATTCATACATGCTTGACATTTCTGTTTGATAGGAATCTCATAATAGAACCGTTTCATCACTGACAAAGACCGATGAAAATTTGTCAGCCTCACTGCTGAATATTACTGATCTCGAGAAGTCTCTGTCTGCTGCTGGTGAGAAGTTCATCTTTATGCAAAAGCTCCGTGATTTTGTTTCTGTTATATGTGAATTCTTGAAGGTAAGACTTCAATTCAGTTCAATTCTTGTCTGCTTTTTTGTGTGTCAGTATCCTTCTTTCAATCTTTCTTATTGCAGATTTGTATTCATGACCTTACCCTCAGTCCTCACGACCTTTCTTAAGTTAGATTACATATCAAAACAAAATCTGCTCAATAAAGTTTGACTCATTGGTTGGCAACATTTCATCATGTTACTTTACCAAATTTATACTTTTTACAAAATCATAATATGAAAATTGAAAAATAAGAGTAATCTTATTGTGACCAACTTACAATCAAATCATGCTGATATTTAGTAACTAGGAAAAAAGGCTTTGACACCATTATCATTTACACATGTACTTCCTTTAGTACTACTTATTCTGCATGAATAAATTGCCTTGCTATCTTTCATCATGAGCTGTTTGTAAGCTTTTAAGGCTGTAGGTTGTTTAGTGGCCTTAAATTTACAACTTTGGCATGCTATTGGTTGGAAATTAATATTGCAAGCAAAATTTTTTGAACCACTAAAAATTCAGGCTTTGGTTCAGGCATCATGTTGGCCAGTGGCCATGTCATGACTAGGCAACTATAGGTATGCTTTGGACACAGATTAAGTTGATTAACTGCTGGAAAGTGCAGAGTTTAAAATTTTTTGAAGAGTAGGTTGCTTAAATAGGTAATCTCCGAATGACTTTTTTAGTCAGTTGTACTGCTTTTGAAATAAGAGACGGAAATCATTCTGTTTTGATGTGACATCTGGTTATTGTAGGAATCAAGAAAATTGTCTTTTTTATCTTCTTGAATTGAAAAAGAAAAGGATGGCGATACAGTCATTTGCTAATTGAATGGATTGTAATGGGGAAATATGTAATATGACCATTTAGTTGTATCAGATTGGGAAACAGAATCTGGGGAGGGTTTCCAGGTTGTTTGCATTATGCTGGGTAGATGTATATATGCTTTGTCTGAAGCCAATAGATAGTTTAGGTTTTAGTACTGAATGAGTTATTTTGGGGCTTATAGCTTGGAGAATTCAATGGATGAGCTGAAGCAAGTCTTTTGACAGGAATATGGTGTTTCACCTTTTTAGCTTAAGTCTTTATTGGTTGTTCTTGTTGTTTGGTACTCTCTTCTATAAGTTCATTTGAGAATTTGGATTCAGCATTTGGGATTATAATTATGATTTTGATATCTTAATTGATAATAGGTTAATCCTTTAGTACTTTGTGCTGCTGGAAATGCTAGAATTTTCTAGACAGCCACTATTAATGAAATCTCAGAAATTTAGGATTGCAGTTTCTTCTAGTAAGAATTATTGAAATTAGGCTTTTAGCGTTTGATAATAGCCATCAGGTGCTGGTTGTGTGTGTTGTTCTTATAAAGCAAAAACAAAAAGAAATAGATCATGAAATTGAACATGACAATCACACCAGGGGTGTCTATAACAAATACACCTAAAGGAACATCCTCATAAGAGCTTAATGTTTCTAGAAGTTATCTTATTCTCTGTAATGAAATAAGACAAGTAGATGATACGAATACAGATGACTTTAAAAACACAGTAGATCACCAAATTTGCACTTCTGTTGGGCCATATACCCTGTAGTATAAGTGGACAACAATATAAAATCTTAGAAAGATTCAGGCAGACCACGAAAACATGTTCTTAATAAAACTGAAATGAAGTAGAACTCTTGGCTCTTTAAAGTGAGAAACAAATCTGAATCTTCCAGGAATTGAATAATGATACTCAGATGTAAACTTAGAAAGATCCAGTTTGCCAAAACTCATGCAGTGCAGTGGGGTCTTTATCAGTCCTTAATCTTTATATGAATTAAGGTTAGAGCTCAGAATGGACCTAGCTGCCTTGCCTTCTATATATTTTAACTGAATGATGCAGGTGGTGTTTCCCTATGACTAGGTTGCGCCCCCCTCCCCCCCTTCTTTTATATTTTAAATTTTCTGATAATTGATAAATAGAAAAGTAAGGTTTCCACAACAAAATGTAGTGATTTGTTTCTACTTTGATAGCTATGCTTCACATAAATTTGTTGTTAATATTATTTATAAGTTGTACTCAAAAGCTAGCTAGATATTAAATGATACATGGACATAAAATTGTATACATCTGAATGTGCATGTATATTCTATATATGAGAGACACTGATACAGGATGGATACTGATATAAAAGGTGCACAAGATTTTCAGTTTGTGCAAGCGGAATGTTTAGCATAAATACATGAAAAATAAATTCTCTAAATAATCTTTGGAAAGAATATTCTGTTTCAGCTTTTATTGATATCATCAAACATCAATATTTCCTTGTCTCATAGCTTCCTAGCTGCTGCTGCTGTTTCATAATTCTTAAATCTCTTTTTTACTGGGATGCTTTGTTAAAAGTTATATCATCATATTCCCTTTATTTTTCTGTGTGGTGTATAATAAATAATGTATTTGCTCTAAATTTATGGAGTGTACATACTGTTTTATATATTGAACTTGTTGCTTACTTTTTGGTTTTTCTTGAGGTCCATGTAAGTACAGTTGTTTTTCAAGATTTTTGGTGGTGATCATATATCATTTTATATTAGGTTTTCTTTTTCCTTTTGTTTATAAGTTTTCTTTGAGGTGCATTTAAGTTGGAAGCCACTTATTGATCTATATATATCTGTTCATTTCATTCTTTCAGCATAAAGCTCCTCTTATAGAGGAACTTGAGGAGCAGATGCAGAAGCTTAATGAAGAACGTGCCTCAGCTGTCTTAGAAAGAAGATCTGCTGATAATGATGATGAAATGATGGAGGTAGAAGCAGCTGTGAAAGCAGCTATGCTAGTTTTCAGTGAACGTGGAAGTAGTGTTGCAATGATTAAAGCTGCCACAAATGCAGCCCAGGCCGCTTCTGCTGCCATTAGGGAAGAAGTGAATTTACCAGTGAAATTGGATGAATTTGGTAGAGATATGAATCGGCAGAAAAGATTAGATATGGAGCGTAGGGCTGAGGCTCGCCGACGTAGGAAATCTCAGTTTGATTCTAAAAGATTATCGTCTATGGATATTGATGGTTCCTACCAGAAAATAGAAGGAGAATCAAGCACAGATGAAAGTGATAGTGAGAGTACAGCATACCAGTCTAATCGCAAGTTGTTGCTTCATACTGCTGATGAAATTTTCAGTGATGCATCTGAGGAGTATTCGCAGCTTTCAGTAGTTAAAGAGAGGCTTGAAAGATGGAAGAGAGATTATTCGTTGAGCTACCGTGATGCTTACATGTCATTGAGTGTTCCCTCTATCTTCTCTCCTTATGTAAGACTAGAGCTTCTAAAGTGGGATCCACTCCATGAGGATGCAGACTTTTCTGATATGAAATGGTAGTGGTAGTTAACATTTAGTGCCAATGCTATTTCTCTTCAATGGCATATTTAATTATAATTTTGTCAATTTATCTGGGTGGTTCTAATTTTGTAGTTGTATATGGTTGAGTGCTTGTGAAAACAATATAACTTATTTCTTTGTTATTTTTTCCTAGAGTCAATTGAGCTAAACATTTCCTTTCCTTTCCAGGCATTCTTTGCTATTCAATTATGGTTCTCCAGAAGATGGAGGTGATTTTTCTGCTGACGATGCTGATGCTAACCTTGTTCCTGGACTAGTGGAAAAGGTTGCACTCCCAATCTTGCATCATGAAATTCTCCACTGTTGGGATGTGCTTAGTGCAAGAGAGACAAAGAATGCGGTTTCTGCGACAAGTCTGGTTATTGATTACATCCCTGCTTCTAGTGAAGCTCTGGCAGAACTATTACTTGCAATTCGCACCCGTCTTGCTGATGCTGTGGCAAATATAATGGTAGGTGGATGGCCTGTTTTATTTATTCTATTTTCTTTATATTATATTTTTCTATGAGCACATGCAATGGGTGTACCATGCATGTACTTCTATATGATATATATTTACTTTCTTGGTTAGGTTTCTCTATGTCCTATATCACTAATATCTATTTCTATCTTTACAGAGTAAAGTTTTCCTTTTCTTTTATACTAGTGATAACATGTAATTAATGAGAATAATGAAAGGCAGTAACTGAGTATTATTTGCAAAAAAATTTACTTGCAGCAGCTATAACTGAGTTATCAAGAACCTCTGTTTTGTATTTCATGATCAAATTTTGTTGGGTTAAGACCATTTTACATGAAAAAAAAAAAAAAAGAAACCCTGCTTTCTCTGAAATATGAACACTAAGGCCTAGATACATTCTGCATATCCATGAATGCACACGCATCCGTCTGTCAAGTTTAAGAACTAATGATACTTTAACTCTTACTAATCTTAACTTCTTTCTTATATGGTATTCAATAGGTCCCAGCATGGAGCCCGCTAGTATTGAAGGCTGTGCCAAACGCTGCACATGTTGCTGCATATAGGTTTGGGATATCTATTCGTTTGATGAGGAATATCTGCCTGTGGAAAGAAATTTTAGCATTGTCAGTGCTAGAGAAGATTGCTCTTGAAGATCTTTTATATGGAAAAATTCTACCTCATGTTCAAATCATTACAGCAGATGTTCATGATGCAGTCACAAGAACTGAAAGGATTGTATCTTCTTTGTCTGGGGTGTGGGCAGGTCCAAGTGTTACAAGAGACCACAGGTACAAATAGCACACTCTTAATTTTGTATGCTAAAACATGATGCTTGCATTAAGCTTTCCCTATTTACAATATCTTCATCCGCTATGACCTATGCTTGCCAAGTAAATTATCGAGTCTGATAAACCAGTTCTTTGTGTTATCCTGGCCTTTTGCTAGATGTGTCAGTATGTAGCTAACACCAATTTTTCAGAATCGGTAATGTGTAGATAATATCTGAATTGCAAGTTATTGGCAGATTAGGATTTGTCATTGGCATTATTTTCTCTTCTCTAACTCTTGTAGAAATTCATCCTTGTTCTCTTTAACCCTACTGCCTTGTTGTTTGGTAGCCATATCTTACTGTTTAACTTGCCTTGAGTATCAGATGGCCCGGTTTGATTGGCCACAATGTCATCATTCTGTTTTGATAAGTAGACCATAAAATCTCTCAATTCTGGTGATCAAATAATCTGAGCTATCCTCTTAATTTGTGCTCAATTGGTATCACCTCTTAAGTTGTCCCTATTGTTATATTTCTTTCTTCTCCGTACAAAACATGTCTTCATCTTTAACATTCCAGTTTCAGTTGCACTCTTGACTCATTCATGAATGCATCATCCCCACAACGTTACACTGGCTGGTCTTAAAACTTAGTTTTGAAATTGTTTATCTATTGAGGCTAAACCTAAAGTTGTCAGTTTTGCAGCATGTTTGGTTGAAGGAATGGTTATTCCTTTGTTAAATAAAAAAACAAGGTAAATTAAATAGAGAACATAGCAAATTAGGAATGTGTATTCCAGACTTGCATCAGTTTCCTTCTAGTAAGTTGGTAGCAGTGATTTCTTTGTGTCTGCATTTTTCACTAATCAATTTGCCCATGAAATTGCATTTCTGCAGTCGGAAGTTGCAGCCACTGGTGGATTATGTATTGCAGTTAGGACGAACGCTAGAGAAGAAACGTGCAGCGGGTGTGACTGAGAGTGAGTTGGGTGGACTTGCCCGTCGGCTGAAGAAAATGCTTGTGGATCTCAACGAGTATGACAAAGCTAGAGATATTACTAGGGCCTTTAACCTCAAGGAAGCATTATGAATTTATAAACTAGGGTTTTGGTACATGGGAAGGTGAATGAGTTGGAATGCAATGCTCATTCTAATGTCTCTATCCATAGCTATGTTTGTTAAAACATAAATTTAGAGTGACCCTTTTCACTTGTCCTAGTTCTAGCTGGAAACCCTCTTTGTTTTTTTTTTTTTTTTGGTAGGCAGTTCTAGGTAGAAACAGCAATTTATTTATTTTTGAATCCTTACAAATCTACTCTCAACAGCAATCTTTGAGGACACTAGTCTCTCTACCCTGTTCATGCTAAGAAGGTTACTACTTACTATTATGCTCAAGGATTTCAAACTTACATGGGTAGAGCTTAAAGCTCGACACAATTAGTTGTAAGATTTAGATGTATTTAATGTCTTACTTCCTCAATAGAAGAGGAATGGTTCTGTAAATCTTAAATGCCAGTATGGATATAGAATGTTCTGACTTTTGTTTTATGGAAGTAGATGATACATTGAAGAAACGAAATTGTTTGAAGTACTTAGGTTGCTATCCGGATTGCTTTGAAAGTGCCTTTGCTCGCTTCCATCGAGAAATATTCTGATAAGGCCAAGAACTTTCGTCTCTTTACTAATTAAGGATGCCAACTTTTGAAAATTACTAATCAAGATTGTGAACTCTTTTTTTTTTTTTTTTTTTGAACAAATTACAATCAAACCTATCATACCAAGGGCGGAATGGGGAAGGGGATCACTGGAGACTCGACTTTTCAATTTGAGAGGTGTTTCAATAAACAATCAAGTGATAAATCAATCGGCCCATGCGTGAGAAAAAAGATTGTGAACTCCCTAATTCTACTATATTTGAAGGGTTTTTCTTTTTTTTTTTTCTAAGATGCTACGTTGGAAGTTTAATTTTGGGTCTCACATGATATGTTCTTTCTTTTAATTAAAATTATTAAAATTTTTCACATAAAAATCATTAAAATTTCGCCACATCAATGATGATAGGGATGAATATTGAACATGTCAGCATTCGGTATGGTTCCCATTATTTATTCTTCAGTTTTTTGAAGTTGGCATCCTTGATTACTAAGCAAGAATTAAAGTTTGCATGGTTGATTGGTAAAAATCCGAAAGTTCATGTCCTTGCATATTGGTCATATTTCTCCACGGCCATTTACACTTAAAATATGTCAATATGTCATAATTAACGTAATATTTATTAAAAAAAATTAACATTTTCTATTTTAATAATTATATAGACGTAAACACTTTTAAAAATCATTATGAATCTATGATATTGTAAAATAAAGGAAGAATTAAGTAGAAAAAAAAATGAATTAGAGGGATTTAAAAAGTGACAATGTAAGAAAAAAGAAAAAATGATATTTTTATTATTGTTATCATCTCATCAGCCTATGTAAGATTGCAAGTACTATTAAGGAAGAGTTGTATATAGATTAAGCACTTATTAAAGGAGGAGTTACATAGATTAATCACTTATTAGGTCACCAAGTA